ATATTAAAATGTAAATTATAAGTATTTTTTAAAATAACATTTTAAAATAAGGAATGAAGAAACATATTAATTTGAATTTAGTATAACATTTATTACATTTGATAGTTTACATATATAACTATAAGTATTATGTGGCTTTTTAATATTAAAAATTAGAAAAAACCATAAATTGACATGTGGATATTATTTATTTAAAAATTATCACAAAATGACAAGTGTCAAAAATCATTAGAGATTGGCAAAATTATATTCATTTATTATAGGAGATATGATTTTAATAAATAATCAACTATTGTAATAATTTGGGAATAATTATTATTTTGTGAAAATAATATTTTTAGAGAGAATAAATAGATATTTAATCATACTCTATGATTTAAATGTTGTGTACAAGTATTTGGACATTTAAGAGTCCATAATATATATATATATATATATATATATATATATATTATATATATGCACACACACATAATGTGTACAAGTTGTGTACTAAATGTGTACACTTAATAGATAATGCTTCATGAGTTAGACACATCAAATCTCACATTTCTCCTCATAAAGTCGTAGGTTTGAAGGCAAGACCAAGAGGTTGCTAGTAAGTCTTCTTCTTACACATAACATACCTCTTTGGTGCCATACCTTTGACTTGTGTAAGGGTATGGATCTTGGATCTCATTTGTGGGTATACAAGAGAGTGTAACACTTGCATTTGTGCTAATTTTTTCTCCCTTCTCATATTCTTCTTTTATTTTGAGGCTAGTTGAAGATTTGGGGATTAAAAGTTCTTCTCCTTTGAAAGCACTTAAAGGCTTAAAGAGTACTTCATACAAGATGAGAACTAGCATTCTTTGTGGAATATACTTGTTGGTGGATACATTATAGAGAAACTCTATCTTGAGTGTTTGTCATCTTCATCAACTCCCCAAAACCAAGTGGGATCAAAGTCTTCAAAGGTTGTATTCTTAACACCCTGTGGTTGTTATAATCTCTCTAGGTCATGGAATTGGATCCTCTTGATAGTTTTGTTTAATTGATCTAAAAAAACTAGCTATTTTGAAGTCTTATGTGTGTCGTATAAAATTGATTTATAAAAAGATCATTTGTTAGCTTTACAAAACGCATTAGTGGTATCAGAGCCTCTTTTACATGCTAGAAATGTTTATTTTAGTGTTTGATAACCTTCACTTTTGGAAAATGTGTTTGGTATTTCTTTTGGAAAATGCGTATTTTTTATGCAACCAATATTTTCATGCATTTGGTTGTATAGAGTTACCTTAGAAAAACAAAGTGATTGTTTTTATATTTCATATGACATTGTTGTGTATAAAAAAGCCATTAAGACCATTGTGTTGTGTTTTTTTTATATTTATTTATTCCTGAGATGTAATAGATAAATGCGTATTTTTTTATTTTTTTGTTTGTATATTATAGATTAGTTAGACTAGTTGTATTCTTGTTTTTCCCAAATGTAAACAATGAATACCTTCAAACATGGTACAAAGGCAAGCTTAAAAAAGATCTCATTACTTGGTCCATTTGAAACATTTTTACAACCTGTCCTTTTTAAAGAGGAAGAGGCATTCTCTTGTTTACTCTCACCATCGATGTGAGATGAAGACATTTTAATCAGCCTCTTCAATTTATTGAATAAGTTTATGTTAAATCAAAAAATTATAAAATCGGTAAAGTTGTGTAATGTAGAAATTTTGTTTATATGTATGTTTATGATTCAAAAATTAATTATAAAATCAATCAATTTATAAAATATAATCGAGTATATATTTTCGTTCTTATGAATCAAACAGATTTTTCAAAAAAAATATAATTTATGTTTAGGTAGATTTTTTTTTTGTATTTTATAACATTATTTAACTTATTTATAATATTACTAGAAAGAAATTGAAAATTCATGAGACTTTCAAAAATCATGATCAAAATTAATAAAAAATAATAGATAAGTAATTTATAAATTATTCAATCATAACGTTAAATTCTAGTACTAAATTGAAAATCATATTTAGTTTTATTTAAATGAAAGCAATGGGTAGATGGTACTGAATGATATAATTATGATAAATTTATATTTTGTAATACGATTCAGCATAATTATAGTTTGAATCATATCATATAGTACCATCTACCTACGATTTGGATTTAAATAAAATTAAACATGATTTTGGATTTAGTATTACAATTTAATATTATGATTGATTAATTTATAAATCACTTATCTGTTGATTTCTTTTAATTTCGATTATGATGGTTAATTGATATACAAACCATTGTTTTGTAAATTAGATTAATGTAATTATTTACGTTAAATAATTAAAAACCACTTATTTGGAAAAAATGAATTATAATAAAAATAGTTGTTGATGGTTTTTATATAATCCAACTTGTCATTCTACATTTAAAATATTTAAACCTTTTTGTGTTATTGGCATGAAAACCCTACGAAGTTTCGCTTTTGTCCTTAATTGGTTATCCAAGTTTTTTTTTTACCCTTTTAGGTCATTTAGGTAGCTAAATTATGTTAATTATCTTGATTTAATCTTTAGAATGAGCTGACATGGAAAATAATATTAGATATTCGTTCCATGTCAGTAATTCCATGTGTAATGTGTATCAACTTTGTTTCAAAAAAAAATGAAAAAAAGGCTTTTTGTCAAGTGTAGTAAAGGGGCTTCCACCTTTAGATTGTGAGCATATATCAAGGAGAGTGAAGAACACTCATTTCAGATTAAGTCATTGAAGAGTGATCATCAATGTTCTAGAAACTACAAGCTAGTTTCCATTTTAACCTACAAGTGTCCATTTTCATATTAAACCAAGGTGATCTTATATAGACAAAAACTGACTGTGAGACAACTTAGACTAGAAGACATTAAAAAATTTGGAATTCATTTAAGTTTAGGGCAATGTAGGAGCACCATGAAGCATGCATTGACCATTATTAAATATAATCTTATTGAACCTTGTGTTAAGGGTGTGGTCCTATGGGGAAGAGATAAGAAGGACAAATCGTAGTTCTATTGTGAAAATTGGTGTAATCAAACTCCCTTCTTTACTTGTAAATAATTCCATTGTATTAAATAACATATTAGGTAAATAAAATAAATAAATAAACATTATCCAAAGTTTTTATTGTTCGATAACTCCATTTTTTAGTAATCCAATACATCTATGAAATATAGAAAGTTTGTTTATATGTATTTTCATGATTTAAAAAATAATTATAAAATTAATTCATTCATAAAATATAATCGAGTATATATTTCGGGCTTATGAATCAAAGAGATTTCTCAAACAATTATAATTTTATGTTTTTGTAGATGTTTGTTTGTGTAATTTTATTTTTCAATAATCCCGTAAGCTCTTATCCAAAAAAGTAAGTTTTTATTGAATAACTTTTTGTTAAGTCCCAAAATCATAAATCCAATAAAGTTATGTAATATAGAAAATTTGTTTATATATATTTCAAAGATTCAAAAATTTATTATAAAACAAATTCATTTATAAAATATAATCAAGTATACATTTCTTGCTTATGAATCAAAATGATTTTTCAAACAATTATAATTTTATTTTTAGGTAGATATTACTTTGTATTTATATAATATTATTTAACATATTTATAATATTATTAGAAAGATACTAAAAAGTCATGGTATTCTCAAATTAATGTGGTGAACAGAAAAATACTTCATATATAGTATAGTATGATATGATATGATAAACGATTCAATGAAAATCCATATTTGCCTTTAATCAAGTGAATGTATATACTTATTTTGATTATTATTACATAGAATCCACAACGGATAGGCTTTGAGGTATTCAATATATCGTGTCAACTATTAATTCTAAGTAACAGACACAGTCACTCTAACTACCATCATACCATGATATCTTTGATCTACTAGTATTAAGGCTATGTAGACTACTAATATTTATCATCATAATACATGTAGAAAATTTCAGCCACCAAGGCTACTATTCACTAGTAAATCTACAGTAATCATATTATGACCACCAAGGCTACCATTATGGTTTTGTTGTATGAAAGTATATTATTATTGAAAATAGTGCCTATAGTCGTAAAAGTTGATAGTCCTTTTAGGTTACACGCAAGTGTATATATATATATATATATATATATATATATATATATATATATATATATATATATATATATATATATATATATGAGCCAGAAATGTTATGAGCGATTTATCTGGGTCTAGTCTGTTAATTAGTTAAGTACTTAATTAATTAATAGAAATTTATAGATAAAGGGGATTAAAGTGTAAGTTTTAAGTATCCTTACTTAGGGATAATTACTTACTAACCAGAAAATTATCCAAGTGGAAACCCTAATCCTCCCCTTTAAATAAAGAGGCATATGGACACTTTTTCTAGGTGTTCCAAATGCTAATATTCGACTGCCTTCTCACCCTTTCTCTATATCTCGAAACCAACCCCTCGGACTACTACGAAAAACACCATCGGATTTCAAAGTAGCACGATCTAATTCAAAAATTCCCCCAATTGAGCGCATCTAGCATATGTTTTCACAGTAACAGGATCACTATAACTGACTCCTTTGAGTTCACCACCATAGAACTCAACATTTACACCTACTTGTTCGAAACTATACTTAGATTCTGCCATTCGAAAAGGAACATCGGCTCTAACAATCCCATCTTCGTCTACCAAAACGACCAGATCTGTTTCAAAAAAGGTAGGCATACGACGTACAAAAAGTTCACGCCCTTCTTTATCTCTTAAAATAGGATGTGCTAACCATCCAACCGCTATTCCATCCTCATTATCCATTGAGCCCGCCCTGAATAATCCCCTTTTGCCGTATTATATCCGATGTAATCATAAAAGGCTATTTTTTCAGGAATTTTAGACCAAGATTCTGATAAACTTTGATTTTCGGCTAACACAACACTAACTCTTATATATATTTATTGTTGGAAGTACCCTTCATCTCATTGATAAAGAGTAGGCCCGAATAATTCGATGGGGGTAGTCGCTGAACCATACCACATAGTTCCGGCAACAACAAAAGATGCAAAAAAGACAACATCGATACTACTGGAAAGAACAGTTTCAGTATTGCCCATACGCAATCCTTTGTATAAACGTTGGGGCGGGCGGACACTAAGATGGAATAGGCCTTCTAATATGCTCAAAGTCCCTACCGCAATATGATGAGAGGTGATTCCTCCCGGAACAAAAGGATCAAAACCCTCCACACCCCACGATGGATTTACAGCTTGTACTTTTCCTGTTAGTCCATAAGGATCGGACACCCATATGCGAGGAAAAAAATGTATTCTAAAGATCTTAGGAAAATCCAAAGAAGGTTTTCCTGTACGTTCATCAGAAAATATTTCTAGATCCCAATACAGCCAATGCTAGATAGCTGCGAAAAAGCACAACCTAGAAAACACAATATGCATTCCGGCCACACCTTCGTAACTCCAAATACCCTGATTGGTTATAGTCACCCCCCTGTGATACTCCAACCACCCCATGAATTGGTTATTCCTAAACGAGTCATGAAGGGTATAACGAACATACCCTGTCTCCACATTGGATCAAGAACAGGGTCAGAAGGATCAAAAACTGCTAATTCATACAGGGCCATAGAACCAGCCCAACCATCAACCAAAGCTGTATGCATTATATGAACATAAAGCAACTGTTTGGGATCATTCAATACAACGGTATGACCACGATACCAAGGAAACCCATGGAAATACCCCTTTTATGAAAGAAAAAAGACCCTACGCAACTTTATTGCATTGGAAATACCAGTTTTCTAAAAATCGCCCTACTCGGCCGAGTACTCGGAATCGGCCCTCCACCGAGGCGAGTTTTGTGAAATCGGCAAAAAAACTTGGATTAAGTCAAACTCGGTCAAAAATTGGTCAACCTCGGTCAAAAATCGGTCAATATCTCTCTAACTCGGGCCTACTCGGTCTTACTCAGGCCAACTCGGTTAAACTCGGCCAACTCGGTCAAACTCGGTCAAACTTGGTCAAAAGGTCAAAATTATCATAAAAAGAGAAAAAAAATCAAGAATTTCAAGATTAATATGTATAATACACTTAGTGATTTATTATTTAACACACACATGTGATTATTACTATATATATATATATATATATATATATATATATATATATATATATATATATATATATATATCTTCAATTTTCAGCTTTTATTCACGAATTGAGACAATTTTGTGTATTTCAGGTTTTATGTATTCACATGTATCTAATTTTGTTATATATTTCAATCAAATTATGATTTTATCTTATGATTTTGACATATAAAATTTTATTAAAAAGATTTCTACACGAATTACCGAATCCGAGTACTCCCGAGTACTCGTTACTCGGTAGTCGGCCGAGCAGGTACCGAGTAGCGAGTTTTGCAACCTTGGGAAATATACTATGACTATGTTATGGACCCCCTCTTTAGTGGATTATTTCAATGCAAGGGTTCATATTTTTCTATTCTGTTGGTAATAATGGAACAATTTTGTTCGTAGGAACAAAGAGAAGCATATTTATTCTATTCTCGATAAGTACCAATACACAATGGGGAGGTTTATGCCATTTTATATGAGCGAATGTGCCCATACTTGTTCATCATTAAAGGACACTATTGGTAATAATTTCCCTTGTTTTTTCTGATTTTTTTTAAAAAATTTTCTAATTTATGAATAAAATATGATAATAAAATATGATTAGGATAAAGTACAATATTATAAAGATAATTATAAAGTTAATAAAGGCTTTGTTACGTTTCCACATCAAAGTAAAATCTAGTACTAAGTTCTTTTTTCTTTCATTTAATGCCTATTGACGTTCCAAAAGTACCTTTTCGAAGTCCCGGAGAGGAAGATGCATGTTGGGTTGACATATAGTGCGACTTGTCAGATATATTGGGCCATATGGGATTTCCCCGTTTTCTCCCCAATCGAGATAACCTCTGTTTCGCCCACGAAAGATTAATTGAATCATCAAAAATTTGAAGCGTGAAGTGCAATTAGATCCATTTTTAATGTAGTAGTCCAATTAAGCCAACCATAAATTCTTCTAATTGATAATAGTAATTTGAATTAAAAAAAAACAAGTGATAATATATCTATTTTATATAATAAAGGATTCCTATTTTTATTTGATTTAAAAGAAATCCTTTTCTGTAAGTAGAAGTTATTTCAAACTCTTATGTTAATCAATCGAGTAATATGCATGAAGCCGTCAACTATTTTTGTGTGTGGACCCTTCAGATCCACCAAAAGGGATGCTAATCGATTTTATGTGACATTTACAAATGATTATAGCAGATATGGTTATATCTACTTAATCAAACATAAATCAGAAACCTTTGAAAAATTCAAAGAGTTTAAACATGAAGTCAAGAATCAATTAGGCAAGAAGATAAAGATGCTCCGATCTTATAGACGCGGAGAGTATCGTATATAGAGTTCCACGACTATCTCAATGAATGTGGAATAGATTCACAATTAACTCTTCTTAGGACACCACAACATAATGGTGTGTTTGAGAGGCATAATCGGACCTTGTTAGACAGGGTTCGTTCCATGAGTCGAGCTTATCTTCCTATTTCTTTCTGGGGTATGCTTTAGAGACAGCCACCCGTATTAGGGATGAGCATTTAGACCGGGGAACCATCCAGAACCGATACTGGAACCGGAAGCGGTACCAGAACCAGAACCGGTACCGGAACCGGAACCGAATAGAACCGATCGGGCAAGGACTGGGAAGATATTCTTGTGGATTTTTGGAACCGGGAACCGGTAGGAACCGGAATCGGTAGAACCAGCAAGAACCGGTAGAACCGACAAAAACCGGAACCGTATGTTGCTATTTCTCGAGTACCGGTTCCAACATTGAGGACACAACAAGAACCGGTAGGAACCGGAACTGGTAGAACCGGCAGTCCAATTTGATTCATATTTTCCACCAAGTTCGGTTCCCTGGCCGGTTCCGGTTGGGGCCGGTTCCAACCAGGCCGGTTTCGATGCTCATCCCTATCCCATATCCTCAATCTTGTCCCTACCAAGAAAGTTGCAAAAATACTTCACGATATGTGGGAAGGGAAATTTCCCTCGTTAGCACATATCAAGCTCTGGGGTTGTGAAGCTTTACTTAGTCGAGAGACTCATGACAAGCTAGAACCTAGAAGTGAGAAGTGTATTTTGATTTGCTACCCAAAAAAGTCTTTTGGATATTTGTTCTACAAACCTAGTGAGAACGTTTTCTTTGTAGCATGAAGGGGAGTCTTTCGCGAGAGAGAGCTCATATGCAAAGAGGACAGTGGGAGTACAATTGACCTTGAATAGATTCAAGAGTCAACCAATGATGGAAACTTAGAAGAAATTAACACTCAACTATAGGATAAGACTCCTATTGAGCCCATTGACAATTCATTTCCTCTTCGTCGGTCCAGTAGACTTAGTGTACCACCTGAGTTCTATGGTTTTCAAATAACAATAGATGGTGACACATTTGTCACAGATCATACACTGGTAAATTTGGATGAGCCAGCCAACTACAAGGAAGTGATGGCAGGCCCTGAGGCTGCCAAGTGGAAAACGGCAATGGACAACGAAATCAAGTCCATGTATGATAAACAAGTTTAGAATTTGGTTGATCATGTATTAGGTCGAAAGACAGTTGGGTGCAAATGGATCTTCAAGAAGAAGACTGACATGGATGGAAAGGTACACACTTTCAAGGCACGAATTATTGCGTAGGGATTTACTCAAACCCCAGGAATTGACTATCAGAGACCTTCTCACTAGTGGCCAAGAGAAAGTCAATCAGAATAATGCTTGGCATAACTGCCTTTCATGATTATGAAATATGGTAGATGGATGTCAAAACTTATTTTCTTATTGGGAAGTTGGCTAAAGATGTTTACATGAGTCGGCCAGAGGGTGTTGTAGATGCAAAGTTTCCTAATAGAGTGTGTAAGCTTGAGAAATCCATTTATGGGTTAAAATAAGCATATCGCAGCTGGAATCTTTTCTTCCATGAGAAAGTCAAAGAATTTGGTTTCTCTAGGAGTAAGGATGAGTCACATGTGTATGTCAAGGCTAGTGGTGGTATAATGACCTTTCTAGTATTGCATATTGATGACATACTTCTCATAGGAAATGACATTCCAGGTCTGCAAGAAGTAAAGTCTAGGCTTAGAAAGTGTTTTTCTATGAAGGATCTGGGAGAGGAAACATATATTATTGGGATAAGAATTTTAAAGGATAGAAAGAAAATACTAATTGATCTTAGTCAGAGTACATACTTGGATAAGATACTACAACGTTTTAGTATGAAAAAATCAAAGAAAGGAGAGTTACCTATTGAAAGCAATGCCAAGTTGAGTAAGACTCAAACCCTAGTACATATAAAGAGATAGCAGAAATCAGTCGAGTCCCATATGGTGCTTTGGGATGGAGAAAACATTTTGGAAAGTTTGAGTGCTTGGCTTGAAGGATTAAGAGCTTAAATCATTAAGTTATCCAAAGAGATCCACACAGTGTGACAGGTTGATTGTCACGACGTGACGATGGATAACTTTGCAACTGTGTTATCCTAACGTTGTCATGCCATGACCAATGGGTGGCCACAACGTGACGATCAGATGGGGCTGACTTTGACCGTTGAATTTGAACATGGTTGACTTTTGGTCAAATTAAGGGTTTTAGGGTGTAGACTGAGAGGCTACTTATATATTGTCATTAGGTGTCTCACTATACTTGTCTTCTCTGTGTGAGAGATGTTGTGTCAAGCTACGATCTGTGAGGTGAGTCTTCTCACTATATTACTGTAACGCCTGTGTTTCCAGGCTAATCATTATTATAACGATGTAATAGTTAGGGTCAACAATTGTAACCTATTTTGAAGTAATGAAGATGAATTATTTGAGTATTATGTGAATTATGTGATTTTATGTGCATTATACTTGCTATTAACGATGTAATAAAATAATCATAGAAATAAGCGTCAAAAATAAAATAATAGATAGACCCAATATCTATGAAGAAAGTTGAAGTAGTCGTAACAAGGATTTCGGGGATATAAGGAACGCTGAAATCCGACTTATAACTAAATATATGGGTAGATGAAATAGATGATGAGTGATGAAATAAAATGATGAGGGGCCTCGATGTTTAAGTTGATTTAGTCATCTAATGGAGTATAGATTACAACCACAGATTATTCTAGACAGTCCAGTGGAACGCTAGCAGGCTCGCAACCTGTAGGTGTTTGTGAACAATGTGTTCATCGGTGTACTCTATCCCCCTCATGGTTTCCTTACTGACACATATTGTTGAGGAATCCCTAAGAAGTATTGTCTTCCCGATGATGATCCTTAGGCTAGGTCCCTTGAATTAGATGCTCTAGGGACATAAAGTGACAATAACAGGAATAGGTAATCGGGTTAGATGATTTGATGAAATTAATAAACTTAATTATTGTGGGTTGAAAACCCTATGTGCTCACCAGGCTCCCAAGCCTGACCCACTCAGTTTCTTGCATTACAGGTAGTGGGAAAAGAGTACATGAGTGTTGTTCTGATGAGAGATCTAAGGATTATAGGCCATTAGAATAATAGATGTTGTAAGGCCTGTACTATTTATGT